TCGCTTTCTGGCACCGTTTGGGGTTACCATCGTCCTCAACCTGGGCTGGACATCCACAGAATCTCCGTGAACCTTGCGAATCGCTGATAGTACGGTAGCAGAAGCGGCTGAGCGCCACAAAGCTCCTCCTCTCCAATCCATCCTCCATTCCCCCCGAGATCGAAGACACGCCCTCCCAAGCTGACAGGGATGTCACACCCCAAGACCATGGTCCAAAGATGTGTGTTCTTGTTCAGACTCCGAGCTGCTTCTTCTTGCAAAAACACGATAGGAGGCATGTGATGGTGGTGAACCACGGTGCTTTCATGTGCCACAAGCTTCACAGACATGGCGGGACTCCACGACCGTTCACCGAGACCAGGCCTGGTGGCATTTGCCGCCCGGGGAGCGTTCCTTTACCACCCCAGTCTTTGTGCCGCGGCCGGGAAGGTTGTTCGGTGGGAAGACGAAATCTTCGCTGGGCCGAGATGAAGATCGAAAGGAAGTGGAGCGAACGTGAAGCTGAGGGTGCTCCCATATCTATATCTGTCTCAATATCTATAGCTGTTTTCTCATGTGTTTACTGGGTCTTCCACCTTGAAGGATGAATTCCTCAAGCAGCGGCCACCCGGGTTCCAACCTAAGGGTGATGGCCTCCAACCTAAGAGCGATGACCTCCAACCTATAAAATGGCCTCCAACCTAAGAGCGATGGCCTCCAACCTGATACGTAGCGATGGCCTTCAACCTAGGGGCGATGGCCTCCAACCTAAGAGCGATGGCCTCCAACTTTGGCTCGATGGCCTCCAACCTAAGGGCGATGGCCTCCAACCTAAGAGCGATGGCCTCCGACCTCATAGCGATTGTGTAGTTCTCCCCTTAGGCCGCGGTGTGGCGACTTCCGCCATCCTGTTGAGCGTAGCATATTTGGATGCCCCATTTGACTTTGCGGCAGATCCGACCCGAAGCGGCCACTGGCCTCAGCCATGAATGTGCAATTTCTGGCTGCAGCAGCGCCCATGACCTATTTGCCACTTTTTGCCCATGTTGATTTACAGGGCAAACTCCTGTTAACTCCTATTTCGACCACCAACTACAGCCGTGAAGACCCAGGAGGGTCAATGCCAATGGAGAAGTGGAGAACTATTCGTCCAGACAGCGCTGCTGGTTGTCTGGCCTTGAGGCTTGCACTTGCCGGTTACCAAACGGAGGCAACAAAACAAACAAACAAACTTCACAAGAGATGACTGTTGCTTCGTCGGCCAGAAGAACGCCCGAAACAAGCTGCGAAAGCGCGGCAGACAGCAGCTGAAAGCAGCTGAGGAGTGACGGAATCGGGAGAAGACATCCAGGGAAGTGTTTGCTTGAAAGAACAGCTGTAGACGCGCTTGGGATTTAGGCCTACAAATCACCAATCAAAAGCTCATTTACATACTGTAAAAGAAACGAGCTGCTTTGCTGATAAGGGTCCCGGTATTGCTCTGGACCCACATGTAGAACTTGACCAGCAAAGTTTGCTCCATCGTTCTGGCACGCGAGGCCTTCACTATTCCTCATCAGGTTGAATCACAAAGCCAAAACTTAGTAGACACTAGTATACACTAGTTATTTTGTGTTGAATGGTTTGCATATGAAAAACTGCATCCAGAGGACGGATCAGATTTCCATTCAAGGCTTCATCGCGGAATGTATGATAGAAGCACGGATTGTAGCCTAATTGCATTGGGAAGGTGCATTGAGGGACATGCAAATCATGAAACTGAACCAACTGCGCCCAAAATTTAAGCTAGAAACATTCCACATATGCAAAGTGGGCCAGTTCCATCCAGGCCTCAAGGTCAAGGAAGGTGTTCCAACACTGAACTCATCCAATTACAGTAGTTTCAGAAACATGCTAAACCTCAGACGATGGCCAAGACTACTTGCAGTCGAGGCGCATGAAGTTGTGCTCGCGAAGGAAACAGACTCAAGGAATTGGCACATGCCCAAGTGGCCACCTCATGTGCTGGCCGGATCCTAAGTCTAACTTGCGGGCCTGTTACACTTGTCTCCCTCCTTGTTACCCTTCTCTCCACTTGTCTCGGCCTACTCTGGATACGCTTGGCCGTATGTTTTTACACTTGTCTCTTCTTGCCTCTTTGCGAGCTCCCTGCTCAGACACTCTTGGCCAAGTTGTTTCATGTACGCTTGTCTCCCACTTGTCTCCCTGCTTGTTACACTTGTCTCCTCTTGCCTCAGGCTACTCTGGAAACACTTGGCCGGAGTTGTCTCTTGCTTGTCTCCTCATCACATACTCTTGGCCTTGGCCGGATCTTCGCTTGTCTCTTTGCTCTGGGCTGAAAGCTTTTAACCCAACACAGCATGATAAAGCCATATTGTCAGTACAACTCAGCAATAGACTAGCGTATGTTCTGTTTTCGTCTGAATTGTTGGTCCGACTTTGAGCCAGTTGAGCAAAGCGCTGGAACAAACCCAGAAGGTCCGAGTTGATCACCGGGAGCTGGAGCGGTTTGAGCCGTTGACTGTTTGACAGTTCGTCTCTGGCTTACTTCTAAAGGCACAAGCTGTTTGAGGTCTAGGCTGGCAAAATCTCTCTAAGCGTTTTTTCTTTCGCAAGACGTCCCGTTTTGACCTGCCGCAATCAAACACGACCTTCTGCCGGTAGGAGGGCGGCGCATAGGCGGGATGGGGCGGTGGTTGCGGCGGGTGGCGCGGGTTGGGCGGTGGAGTTTCATTTGGCATGTGTGCAGCCAGAGTATATCTATAGAAATGAGAAGAAGTGGAGAGTGCGCCTGAGTAAGGGCCCATTTCGAGCCTGATCGCGCCCCCCCGCCCCAATTGGTTGTGAACAGGTGTCGGAAAGCAGAAGAGGAAGGACATCGGCAGGTTTGCGACACAGTCAGAAGCCGAGAACAAGATGCACAAAGTTTTGGAGGAACAGTCGAAGGCCTTAAAAAAAGAAACAGGGAAAATGACCAAATGTATTTGTTGCCACAGGTTGACGCAGAGGACTCTCCACAAATTGAACCACACCCAAAGCCTGGGCGGCGCATTCATCGTCCACTGCCACCGCGCACCTCGCGGCGCGTTTGGTTTTGCAATGTCAGGATCGACGAGCTGCGCCAGCAATTGGCCGCCGTCGTGATCTGCATGGACTTGACAAAGGGGGACCATGGTATGCTCTACTAGATACTTTGTGATTTTCGTGCATGTTGAGCTTCTGACTGTGAACAGATCAACCAGGGCTAGATTTGCCCAAGAATTGAAAGCCGGAATTGTTGCCCAGCTGAGCCAGTTGAAGGCATTACTCACTGTGTGGATATCTGTATATGTATGTATGTATATATATATAGGTTTGCATGCGCAGGTTCCCCTTGCAAGCGCTGGCTCCTTAACTACACTTGACAAGGTGTACCCCCACAATCAAGAATCACTCGGCACGCAGCTTCAATGGGCGCAAGACCTAATGACCTCATGGAGTGAAATGGACCACTCACAAGGCAAGAAGTGCACTGTTGCAAGGAGTAGGCTGAAAGCTGCATGTATTGTTTGAGAAAGCGAAAGGCTGCCGCCGCGACCGGTGAAAGCACCGGAAACACCCTCTTCATCAGCCAGCCCAGAACACGCCACAAGTGACGAAGAGGGGAAGTGAGCCCCCAAGGGGGCTTGCGGTGGACCGAGGGGTGTGTCAAGTTGTCGTCATGCAATAAGAGAACTACACTCTCTAACACAAGTGCAAACAGATCAATTTCTTTGGGCTCATCCACTTCAGCTGATGTTAACATGAGTGGTTGTTTGGTTCTGCGTTCCGCTGTGAACACAGTTCCCGTTCTTGGTTGTTTGTTTTCTTTCATTAGACTATCCAAGTTGAACTTGTTGTGTTAAGTCCTTTTTGGTTTTGCTTTTTGGTGGCGTGTGCTCGTGTCATTGCGACGCGAACACCGCACCATATCCACACACGCGCGCCCAGACAGCCCTGCTGATTGTCTGGCCTTGCGACTTGCACTTGCGCCCCAAAGCACCCTTGCCTCTAGATGTAACAGGGTTCTTGCACACACGCGTCCAGACTGCCCTGCTGGTTGTCTGGCCTTGCGACTTGCACTTGCGCCCCAAGGCGCCCTTGACTCTAGATGCAAAAGGGTTCTTGCACACACGTGTCCAGACAGCCGTGCTGGTTAGGCAAAGACCCGCGGCTGCTCAGGAGCGTTGGAGGACATGCTGACACAGGTGAAGGGATGGTGCAATTCAAAAGTTCCGCTCTCTGAGCAAGCCCTCGCTGGACAAGAATCAGCCGTGGCGATTGCAAGTGGGTATGAGAACAGACAAGCTATTTCGACTCCTGGCCAACAGGCAACTTGAGCCTTTGGCAGATAGCTGGGATTCAGGTCAAAGCAACACTCTCAGCGGATCTCTCCACTTGGTCACAAGATCCGGGATATGTTGCAGCAGATGTAACCGGCCTTGAGGAGGGGCAGTTGGATTGCTCGGTGACTTCTGGACAACCCTTCAAATCACTGCTAGGTGAATGCCTCATGGATGAGCCTGCGCCGGAAACACTTCCAGCCCTCGCAGGGGCTTCAAGACGGGCTCACAGCTATGATGCACAAGGCATCCTCTTCCATGCTGATCTTGGGGATTGAACAGTTTGGGCATCTTTTTGATTTGTGGGGTGGTGACATCCAGTGTGATGCGGTTGAGTTCGCTGCCTACCTGCTCACCAAGCTTGACCAGGACTTGGTATAGCCTTTGGGAACGGCGGTACCAACGCCAAAATGGCCAGGTGAAAAAGTATGCACCTGAGCTTGTGGCCACTGCGTTGAGGCTTTCAGTCATGCCCCATCGTGATTGCACTCTCGTTCAACTGCTGGAACACTGGCAGCATGACTCAGGGATGGTTGCAGCCTGCTCACATGCCTTCTGTGCTGTGTGTTCAGCTTGATCGTCTTCGCCCGATCACAGGGACTCGCGTCTCCATTGACAGGTACCAAAGTTCTCAGGTGGGGGGCACCAACACCGAGCTCCATGCCTTTCTGGTGGCTGCAGCTTTTGCTCATCTTGGCCAGCCGGGAGCACGCCATTACCGTGCAGCTCTTCGCAAGCGCGGCCCCGGGAAGCAAAGTGAGTGGTTGGATTGTGAAGATGGAACCCCCCTCGGTGCCCATGGCATCGCTGCCGGGATGGTTCGAGACTCAAGTCACTTTGATTTGGGCCGCGCAGATTTCTGAGATGTGTCGACTCACAGCCTCCAACCTAAGAGAGAACAGGCCTCCAACCAAATAGCGATGGCCTCGAACCTAAGAGCGATGGCCTCCAACCTAAGAGCGATGGCCTCCAACCAATTTAAAGAACGAACCTAAGAGCAATGGCCTCCAACCAAAGAGTCATGGCCTCCAACTTTCACTCAATGGCCTCCAACCTGAGAGCGATGGCCTGCAACCTGAGAGAGATGGCCTCCAACCTAAGAGGGATGACGTCTAACCTAACAGCGATGGCCTCCAACCTAACCTGAGAGCCATGGTCTTCAACCTGATAGCGATGGCCTTCAACCTATGCCTAAGAGCCATGGCCTCCAACCTAATACTAAGCAAAATGCCCTCCAACCTAGTAGCGATGGCCGCCAACCTAATAGCGATGGCCTCCAACCTGAGAGTGATGGCCTCCAACCTAAGAGCGGTGGCCTCCAACCTAAGAGCGATGGCCTCCAACCTAAGAGCGATGGCCTCCAACCTAATAGTGATGGCCTTCAACCTAATAGCGATGGCCTCCAACCTAAGAGCGGTGGTCTCCAACCTAAGAGCGATGGTCACCAAACCCAATAGCGGTGGCCTCCAACCTACAAAGAGCGATGGCCGCCAAACTAATAGCGATGGCCTCCAACCTAATAGCGATGGCCTCCAACCTAAGAGCGGTGGCCTCCAACCTAAGAGCGATGGCTGCCAACCTAATAGCGATGGCCTCCAACCTAAGAGCTGTGGCGACCAAGGATGGCTGGGCTGAGACCGTGGAGTATGTCCGCAAAGTTTGGGCCGAGCAGGGCCCTTTTGATGGTATGCTGGGCTTCTCCCAAGGCCATTTTTCTGAAGTAGGTGGAAGGACTGATCGATATGAAGTACCGATATATATATATATATTTAGTATTTGATGCCTTCCTCCTTTCTACTTTGAGTTTATGTGTCGCTGTGGCATTCTTCATAGTTCGTCCTTGGAACTCACTTGAAGTACACTCAGTTCTGCAAGGCTCAGCTTTCATGTAGGAGAACTTTGACGAACGCACAGTGGAACACGCGACTAGGACCAGGTCGGCTTTTCGCCGACGCTATCCCTAGAACCTGAGTGATCTCTATTTTGGTTCACCCAACATACAGTGGTTTCAGAGTAGATGGCCCAAACCCCAAAACGTGCTTTGTAAAGCCATCTACTCTGAAACCACTGCAATTGAAATTTTCCTGGTCAAAACTGGGATCATGTCTGGGTTCTCGGTCGGTATATCAGATATAAAGACGGTGTTCAGATCATATAGTTGGACATCTTGGACGAATTCATTTCTGCCGGTGTGGGCTTCTGTGGAATGCTACTGGTGTTGATGCGGGTTGTGTTGAGCACATGACGGCTTGCTGTTGCCTTTGAGGTACTCTTGAAAAAGGTGTGTGTTTTGATTCTGAAACTTGTTCCCTCCTTCAACACCTCACTGCACCAAAGCCACCCAACCAGTGGTTCGCTCAAGGTACCTCAAAAGGAGAATTGACGATTCAAAGGCCGCTGTGCCCAGGCGCAATTCTGATCGCTGCACTGGTGGCTTTGGGCGAGCTGCGTCCTGGGCAGCCGCTGGCGCCTTGGTGTATTTTTGAGCGGCAAGCCTGCTCGAATTTCCCAAGCCAGGATCGCTCACAGCTAAAATGTAGACCTCCCAGCCAAACGGTTGAAGGAGTCTCAAGAGCATGAACCTCACCAAAAGAATTCGCAGGGAGTTGGTAGGGGTCGTGGTGGTGATGGTGGTGGTGGTGGTGGTCGTGGTGGTGGTGGTGATGGTGGTGGTGGTGGTGGTGACGGTGGTGACGGTGGTGGTGGTTGTCGTGGTGGTGGTGGTGATGATTTGATAACACTAAATAACACTAAAAATAAACAAAACAACACCCTCGACAGGAAAAAAAGAAAACGTATGGGCTGGGAATGCGTTGAAGAAAACTGTTCAATTAATTCCCTCCCTCTTTGTAACTTAAAATGCAACATGATCAACTGCAAAGAAATTTGGAAATTATCTTAGAAAAAGACATGGTAAAGAAATGAAGATCAAAGAACCTAAAGAGCACCCCAGCGTTCAAAAGCGCCATCCAATTTGAAGCGGAAGCGGGGCAGAATGCGCCATCCGGCAGAACACCCGGAGCACTCTTCCAACGATCCAGGTCTCGCAAGTTCGAATCTGAAACAGGTGACGAAGAAGAAGCGGGGCGAGACTCGGAGTAAAACCATCCTCGCTGTGCCATCCCAATTCCACGTCGCACCCGAAAGGTGAGTGGCCAGAGCATCACGAAGAAAAATGAACGGAAAACCCCAATCAGTCACTCAAGAGCCACCTTTTGCACGAAACGCGTTTGCTTCTGCGTCTTCAACCACCCCCCACCCCAGGCCTCATGTCGTCGCTTGGTGCTCTGTGGCGCTGCCTTGCCGGGGCCGTGCCTTGATCGTGTTGGGGCGATGATCGAAACAGTGAAGGGTCGAAGCACACGGCGCCTGGATGGGACTTGAATCATCAAAACCCACCCCGACTGGTGACTCCTGGAATGCAACTTTTGCATGTCACATACTGTCTGACAGTATGTTGGTTTCAGGCCACTGGATGCCAGACATCATCAATTTGCTTGCGTACATCAGCTCTACCCAAGAAGACTGACAGAACGCCCAGTAGGTTGCGAGTTGTGTGATCCATCCCACAAACCTTCATCTTGCAGCAACTTGGTGTCTTGGGAATCAAGATCTGAAATGGCGGCAGCATTGGGGTGTCGCGATGTGTTCAGCAACGTGCCGGGCACGTAATGCTGCCCTTCCGGCACCGTCCCACCCGAATGGCCAGAGAACGAGCGACCCCCCTCTCCGCGAGACACGCCATTAGACGTGGCTACATTGGAACTGCACCCAACAAAGGAAGGAAGATTTAATTTAGTTACTTTAGTTTGCTAGTAAGAACAAAGGGCATCGCTACTAGGAGCAAGGACGCTACTAGGGGCTCCTGGCCTTACTACTAGGAGCAAGGACACTACGAACGGGGCTACTAGGTCTAATATAGTTTGCTAGCAGGATGGAGGCCATAGCCAGCAGAAACAAAGAAAAAGGTTGACCGGGAAGGAAGCCTCCCACCGTCTCGTCTCAGCCGCGAAAAAACACCGCCAGGTTCCGCTCTGAGTTGGCAGATTTGCGTGCAAAGCCTTGCAACCTGGCTGATTAAGAGGAAACGGGAAGCACCACGGACGCGTGGATTTGGCCGTTTGGCATGAAACATCCGATGACGTTTTGAGTTTTCACACCGGGAAGAATTGTAAGGGACTTTGGGATGTGTGCCGATCCCGTTTTTCGTTGGTGCATTGCAGCCTCCTTTGTTTCTGGAATATGTGCATGTGGCATGAGTTGCATCCGATCCCAGTTTGGCCCTTCGATGAGGCGGACCCGATATCTTTTGATCAAATCTGGTGCAATTGATCTATGTATCTTCACCAACCAGACCCGAGAAATTCGCAGGGCTTGCTTTGAAAACCAGCGTCTGCTCCCCCCCAAAAGCGGGGTTTGGGTTCTGGGCGCCTGAAAAGCTGGACCAGTTGCGCACACCCACACCACTAAAATGTCAGAGGGACACTGAAGGGTTCAACCCATGTTTTCATTTTCACGGGTTGTCACGAGTTGTTTTGACAGGATTCGGCACGGGTTTTGTCATGGGTTTGGCCAAACACGGGGTCTCCCTAAACCTAGGCGTTAGGGATTCAATCCCAGGCTTTCGATTGGTCAAGCAGGTCTGTCTTCCAGAAAGACTTGACCCTGCTTTTTCCAGTTATGTTGATTCAAAACACTTGGCCATACTCTGGGAATTCTAGTTTCTCGGGACACCCGGGGTTTGCAATGGAAACGCTTTGTTTGGAGCATGTAAGCAGTGTGTTTCACGAGGTTTAACATGCACACCCCACAAAAAGGTAAGGGTTTAGTTGTTCAGGGTAAGTCTACAAGCTGTCAAGGTCGGCTTATACAAGTTCTGAAACTTGTTCTGCTGATGCATCGCTGAACCCTCTAGACATGGACATGAATGAACAGTATGGCTTCCAAAACAAGTGCGGTTTCGGAACTTTCAACCAAAACACCAAAAGAAGAACATCTCTTGCTCCATCCAAGACCCAAAATCGGGGTGGTAAATGGATCACCCCCTACCCTTTGTTCCGGGCTTCTTCAGACCGCGACCACCGCGACCACGCGACCTTCTAGGCCATGGCATCTCAGCGCTCCACACCATCGGTCGCCAGGATGACATCAACCCACCGGAGCAGGCGCGCGAGGCGGGGGATCTTCCAACCGCCGTCGGGATCGGTCGCCCCGGTCTCTGCTGGGGGAGCGGTCGGAGAAGGACGGAGCTTTCGCATCGGTAGCCTCAAGGGTGTTGATTCGCGTTAGGAAAGCTTTTCGGGAAGCAGGGCCTGCAGTCCAATGTCACAAGGTATGACTGAGCAGTACGTACCAGGACACCCGGACCAGGGGCTTCGTTCTTGATAGCCCCTTAGATGTGATTCGGGGTGTCCATTAACCACCCCGACCGTGGGTCCTGGTATTTGAGAAAGATTGTATTTTCATATCCAAAACAGGCACCTGACTTGGCGACGGCGTGCTGCGCCGTCGCCGAAGTCCCATCGACTTGTTCAAAAAATAGCTGCCGGATGAAGGCCCGTGGAGTGAAAAACATGCACCCAAGACACCGGAGGTGAGGTTGATATAGGTTGATCAGGGTGGCAGAATGTGCAAGGCTATCACTTAACCATCCCCACTTACTGCTAGTCGCAACGACGAATTTGGAAAGAAGTGAAGAAAGCCACAACTCGTATTTTAGATCATGAACTCGTTGGTTCATGAGTCATTGGTCTATTTCTTACATGTGGATTGGGCGAGTGCCATGGTGCTGCTTCTGACCTGCCAGGTGGCGGCGGCTGTCGGGGGGGGAGATCTTTGAGTTTGAGGGCACGCACGAGGTGCCCATGGACGAGGCTGGAACAGCAAATCAAGGGGATCTGTAACAATCAGTAAACAATCAGTTGCTATTTTTGAATAAGGCCTGCAACTGAACCATCATCATCCACTTGACCCAAATCCATGATTATGATGATGTTCTATGTGTTTCTGGAGCTCACGAAAACTGGATCGATTTTTGGGTCGGAGTGCACCAATCGCTGAACTCAGATGCCTCAGCCCCAACATATCCTTCGGATCTTAAGAAGGATGGTGAGCGCGGCCGTCGCCAGGCGGCCATGAGCGCTTATCGCCGCTTGCTGGGTGCATAAGGAGAAAAGAAAGAGGGGCAATGCCGCCGTGCCGGTGGGAGTTTCCGAGGAGAGAGGTTTGAGAGTTGAAAAGCTGTCAAGTTTCCAGAAAGCAGCTGGGAAACTGTGGCCCGGGCCCCAATTCGAATTCAAGCTAACTGCAGCTTGGTATACTTGGTTTACTTGGTCTCTTTGCCTTCAGCTTTGAATCTTCTTCTGAGACTTCCTCTTGCCATCGTCACCGTCGATCTCACCGTTTCTGAGGCTCTGAAACGGGGCCCGAAGAAACCTCGGGACGCTCCGCTCCACTCCGCGGCGGACGCGGACCGACGCTCCGCTCCACTCCGACGTCAGGAGGAGCGGCGCTCTACGTCTATCGACATGTTCAGTGGGGATCGACGAAGTTCTATCTACTTGGGGGGTCTCTGTCAAAGGCCAGCCCCTTACTCGTAGCGTCCGATCGCGAACGGTTCGTAGCGATGCCCGAAATGCTCCGTTCGTAGCGTCTTGATACTAGTAGACTTCTCTCTCAAAAATCCCCCCTTGTTTAGCGTCGCAGCGGAGTGTCCAGGCCAGCTACTTGTACAGATTGGGGAGGTGCTTCAACCGTTGCTTGGGGCCCGAGTGGAAGTGCAACAGTTTTGCGTTGCGACCGGGGATTTGTTTGCCATATGTCCTTTTGGGGACATGACATGAACCAGAAAACACAGGTGTAGCTTTTCCACTCAGCAAGCCCGATCCTCAATGGAGATCCTATTGGAGCGAATCATGCCGGAGTTCAACGGAACGTCCACGCCCAAAGACAGCCGACGCGCTCGTATGCGGTCCGCGCTCAGCCGACGCGCTTGCGAAGGAAAAAGAGACGCTGGCGGTTCCCTTCGTCGATGAGTGCGACGGATTCCTTGAAATTCAATGTCCTACAAAGGCCACTCAAAGATTGCACTCCGTTGTTTTTTGACTAAGGAGCAAGTCCCCATTGTGAGGCTGTTTTCAGGTTGAATGGATGGGGTGTTCAAGTTGAAGGCTTCCGGGATCCCTCAAAAAGCCCATGCAATAGGTAGACGAGTCGACAACCCCCACCCACACGCACACACATGGCGTTCATCGATCATTCGGAAAGGCCGGTCATTCAAGGTCCAAAGGAAAAGCAGCAGCAAATGGTAATCCCTTTTTTGGGGGCCCGCTCCCCCCCCCAACTTAATTAAGTAGGCACCTACTTAATTAAGTAAGGGAGTAAGCTTCTAGCTGAGGGCGAGGCAAGCTTCCTTGAAGAAGCGCTCGCACTAATGATTTGGTTCCTAGGTGTTTTGGGAAATCTTTGTAGCGATCGCCTCCAACCTACTAGCGATAGCCTCCAACCTACTAGCAATGGCCTCCTAGTAGCGTCCTTGCTCCTAGTAGCGATGCCCTTTGCTACCGGTAGCGTCCTTGTCTAAAAGCCAATGGTGCTTCTTTGCTTGGATAAAGTTCATTTCCACGATCGCCCTGATTCCTTCGGAAGCATTTCAGCGACGATCGGGGGGTCGGAAACATGCATCTGCTCAAGCTCGAGTAGCGTTCGAATCAAGAGCACCATGAAGCCTTGGAATGTTTTTGAGTCAGAAGCTCGTGCTAACGACATTGAGCGACGGGCGACGTGTACACCCAGAAGTTGTTTTGCCTTTCAAGAGTTCACCCTGACTGAAATGGATGCAACGGAGTTTCTGCCAACATCAAGTGCAAAACGGAAATCATGGGCATTTGCCTGTAGGAATGAGTTCTCATGAAAAAGCAACTCAGAAAGCCCCCAAAAAAAGAACCTTGGTGTCGCTGACAAGTCCATGTCACAGAGAACTAATCAGAACCACGTTTTTTGTGCTAACACACCACCACCCCTTTTGCTGTTCGCTGTCGCCTCGTGAAAACCACGTCAAGCACATTTGAACTGCTTTCGTTTTAAGACCTTTCGTCAACCCAACGGCGTGGTCCCATGCCGCACAGACCTGTTTGACACGTGGAGAGGCTTTCTCCAAGAAGCGTTCTGTTGTCCCTTGAGCTGGTCGAGAAGAGCACGAATCTGTTGGGAGAACATGGGAGAACGGCGAGTTGTTTGACATGGAATCCTCTCATGTTTGGACTCTTTGGTGTTCTCTTCCAAGTCTTCGGTTTCTTTCTTGTCATTTCTTCCCTCGTTCTTCAGCGAAGCTCCGTCGTCCTTTCCGGCCCGTTTCCCGCCAGGTGCCGCGACTTGGCTCCGATCCTGGGCGATGTGCTGCGGAAGCGCCGCTGTCGCTCGGTGGGTCATTTCGGGATTTGGGGAAGAGAAGAGAGGGGCCGCCCACTGTGGGGGGCCCCTTGAACGCTTTTTTTTGGGGGGGGGGTGAGGGGTAAGTCGTTTTGAAGAAGAGATCAGAGGCACCCCAAATGTTCGAGCTCGTACCGCCTTGTCTCGCGTCCGGGGTCTGCATCCGATGGATCCATGGGCCCAAGCTCCCAGAAGCCCGAAGAGCCCTAAGCCCTAATTTTACGAGTAACAAGTGCATCGCTTCTAGTAACAAGTGCCTTACTAGTAGTAACAAGAAGCTATTAGAAGTAATTACACTTAATTACACTTAATTCTAATTAAATTATTGTACTAGAACTTGCAAGAAAAGTGGGACAATGGTTCAGCCGTCAGGTTGCGAACACGTTGTCTACAGGTTGGTCTTCTGTGCCGAAAGGATGAAGGTTCCCACCGGACCAAAATGAATCAACCCAGACGCTCCATGTATGCCATATATGCCTACATTGGGGTGGTTTTGGGGGGTCAATGTAGGCATACATGGCATACATGGAATGTTTGGGCAAGTACGGGAACTCATGATAAGTTTTGAGCCCATCTGCAGCTGCGCCATGATTCAGGCCGTCGCCAGTCGCTCCAAAATGTAATCAGACTTTTGTCATCGTTCGCAGAAGGGCTCTGACAAAAGTTGTCAGAAGGTGCTGATGTTTTCAGTATCCACTCCCTTACATAGGCCAGCGGGCCGTTCAAGACAAAACGGACTTCTCCAAAAGAAAGTGGGTCACCACAACCATCGAAAAAAAGAGGACTCGGCCAGCAGTCACATGGAGTTGGGTGCGAGCTCCATGGAGGAAGTGCCCTGTCCGCGTTGCCCCGGTCACATCCACGGCCCGGTCGGATGAGACTTCTCCAAACCACCCAGTCCGTCCTTTCTCGCTCCGTTCGTAAGGCCAGGAGGCCCCGGACTCATAGCGCTCGGGTCGTCCAGAGAGGAGACCCGTCCTCTTTGGACCCATGAACCGAACGGGACCATCTCACGTGAGCATGTTGTGGAAGGTCATCATCACCCGAAATCGGTCGCAAGCAGTGAGCATGTGGTGGGTGTGAAAATTTGATGAGTTGTGGTGTTCTTTGGAGCATGTAGTTGATTAAGCGTGTCTTTGGGTTGCACAGGGGTATAGAAGCCTACCTTTGCTTTGGAATTCAGCAACGTTTCGCATGCTTCTGTTGACTGAACTGCCCGGACTTTTCTAAGTCGCAGATAGATGCTGACACTGTCTCAGCCTCGCCACAGCTTCACCTCAGCCGTCGCTCGAGACACGTCTGCCGTGCTCGGCAAAGGCCCTGAAGTTCTCGTGGACTACTCATGTGGCCATAGCTGTCAGCCCGAGGCGACGTGAGAAAGAACCTCCCGGACGGGGTTTGGTGAAGAAAACCGGTGGAGGTCGTGGACGTGGCGGATGATGCGAAGGGACGGTCGTGGACGTGGCGGTGTGAAAGGACGGGGAGGGAGACCTCCATAGCACTGCGTGCGTGGGCAAGCACGGTCATTCACTGGAATTCGGATGCTGCAGGTATCACTGTCGGCTTCATGTCTTGGCATGTGAAGCAAGTCATGCATGTCTTGGCCGAAGCCCCCGCCTGCAGGTCCACTTGCCAGCCTTCCTGGCCGACAAGAAGGATGCACGCATGGCCTCGAGGTCTGGGAACGTGAAGCGCCCGCCTTTTGGGTCGCCTAGCATCGGGTTTGTAGTATATACATCTTGGAGCTCCTGTTCCTGAAGGAACCTACAAAACTTCTGGGTGTTTGTTCGGGGTGTTGGTTCGGCAGACTATTCTCCTGACCAAGTTGTGTGAGCAATCGTGCCTGACTCGGTGCTCACTGATCAGCCTGCCACTCTTACTTGCACTTCAAGGCCTTGGAGCAGCATTTGCATGGAGACCCATACCGTCCAATAGGTGAAAATATGCCTTCGCATCCATATACTCTGCTGGGAAAAAGGGGGGCGCGCATGGAGAATGACCCTGACAAAGCCAGACTTCCACTTGTTGATGCAGAAACAGCTGTTTTTTTCATGGCACCCCAAAAACTACGCACTATCCAGACTCCCTCCCACAACTGACCACTACGACATAGTCTCACCTACCAGGCAACATGGGCTTTCTAGCAACTAGAAGCTACTAGGAGCAAAGGGCATCGCTACTACGGGCTCCTGGCCTTACTACTAGCAGCAATGTTCGCTACTAGTAGCCAAGGGCATCGGGACTCGAACGGAGCGATTTTCTTCCGCGTGGCTCCTGGCATCGGACCTGAACGGAGCAAGAAGCCTACTTCATTAAAAACAAAACAAACAAGCCTACTTCATTAGCAACAATCAAGCTTTCTAGTAACTAGAAGCTTAATTGAAGAAAAAGAATCAATCCTAGCGAAGCCGATCGATGTTCCTCGCTCGTTCTTTCCGACCACGGCCGGTTTTTTCCCGTGGCGGCAGGGCCCTGCGCTTGGCCGTGAAGAGCGGAGCGGTGCCACCGGGCGAGGAGGGTGTCGTCCGGATCGAGGCCCAGGGTCGGAGCCGCCGTGGTCGTTACAGTGTGGCAACACCTAGGGGTTCTTAACGCTTGTGTTACGGTAGTGTTACCTAGGGGTCTAAGATAGACCTTCAGACTCTGTTTGGCGTCTCTTGCCAGGATAACTGTTCTCGATCTCACCAAAAACAAGAATTCCTCTCCAGAGCAGGTCACCTGGCTGTGGGTCCAAATTAAATGGCCCGAAGCTCTATTTTAATACTGGTAGGTGAAACCCACGTCTAGTAGTCTATTGGTAAATGGCTCGGTGGGAAAAAACAAACCAGAAAAGGTCCCGGTGCCATGACCCACAGCCAAGTCAGTTAGCCTTTTTCAGAGGAATTCTTGTTTGCAGGGTCTTGCTTGGGAAGAAGAAAGTGCCTCAGCGGCTCAGAAGTGGCTCAAGCATCGTTTGGGGGCGCTGTGAATCGGAGCATTGAGTGGTTGATGTTGCAGCACCTCATCAACTCTGAATTCTGGGCGCTGTTGTGATGCAAAAGCCACAGACAGGTCGACACAGAGATGGTCTGAATCCCGGACTATAGCTAGAGCATGCTATAGCAGACTTGTTTGACAGGTCTTGTTCCAACCAAAAGGTGATGTTCAGAAAGGAACCTGCGGCAGACTGATTTGAGAAAGACTGTTTGGCTGGTCTTTCTTTTGGGGGAACCTTGGAACCCGTGTGCCTTTCAGAAAGGACTGAACAATGTGCCTTTGGGTGAATCATCGAGAAAATCATCGAGAATCGGGAAAATGCGTGGCTTGGAAGGAAACCAGTCCATCTTTGAGTTAACTTTTCATCTCGCTTCTTCCTGGGTTCCCCACCTTCCTGCAGGTCCCAGGTGGTCCGTGCCAGGGCCTCAGGACCATGAAAGAAGCGTTAAAAGAACGATAATGCGGGCTACCGGCACTGCCAACTGGCTTTAACAAAAACTAGACGACGGGTGGCCCGAGAGCGAGAAAATGAAAAGATGTAGATGTTAAGTTTGTAGATGTAGAACATGAATTTTAGTTTCTGATTATTTAGGATGTAGAAGTGGTGAAGAAGATAAGGTAGATATGAAGTGAGATCTGAACAAGTGGCGTAGAGGAGGTGAGCAGATGTAGCAGAGGTTTTGAATTTTGGATTTAAAGGTGTTGAACAAGACGCAACAAGATGTGAGAAGATATGAGAAGAGAGAAGATCTTGCAAGTGAAATGAGTGAGAAAGCGCAATTGTAAGTTATGAAAAGTTAGACATACAACGCTGAAGTGCCGAGAAGAAAAGACTTGTCAACTCTAGCGTATTGACTGTCAAGACTTTACCAAACAAACTTGGAGCAATGGTTTAGAGATGTTCCGATTTGTATTCAGTTGGCTGACTTTTTGCCACTTCGCCCGACAGCACGCGAATGGCGAACAAGCCAAAGGGCCATCGACCCTGTCGACGAAGAAGCGTCAGACGTTGAAGGTGACGAAGACAGCCATGTCAGCAACACTCGGAACTGGGTCGGCTGCTCTTCAAAAATTCCTTGCTGCGGGTCGTGCACTTCACAGGTACTGGACGATTTTCGGATTGCAGCAGTGGCCGACAATTTGTGGAAATTTTGACACACATGCTGAATGGCACATCTATGTCGGATTCCCTGTGGGCAGCATTGGAATCGAGGAGCTACAATCCCAAGGGCTTGGCAAACCCTGAGTTGCAAACTGCATTGCTACGAGCTTATTGGGGCGGATTTGCATGGGAACAAGTGGCGAGGTTGCAACACATCCGCGTGGGGTTAGAGGCGCGACAGGCCAAGAAAACTGTCTTCTTGGTACGAGCCATAGATCGTGCCACTGGCAGCATGTAGCTGACAAAGGAACAGAGCATTGCAGCGTTACAAGTTGTGAACATGACGAAGTCATCATACTTGATGGGACTTTGTCCTTTGTACGAAGGCATGCTGGCTAGAATCTCATGCATCCTGCCAATCCTCATGTTAACCAGAGAGCTGCCTGTGATTGTTCGTGCCATAAAGCTCCATCCACAAGAACCATCAATTTCAATCGATTCTGGTTGTGTCGTCTTGAAATATCAACCTGTGGCAGTTCTGGTTGAGATCGATGATCCGGAATACAAGACTTTGCAGTTGCCAAACAGCATGGCTCCACCTGGACATGTCTATCTGCAGGCTGTGTCCTCGGAGAAGGCATGGACCATACCGTCTGGAGCCAAGCAGCACATCCCAGTCATTCGCAAACAATTTCCGCTGGCACCGTGAAATGTTCTGACGCATTATGGCTTACAAGGGATCACTGCAAGGCAAGGTTTGGTTGCCTTCTCGTCGAAGCCTGGGTGGATGAAAGATCCAGACTACGCTTTGGCGATGTATGTGATGCTTTCAAGAGCGAGGAAACTGGAAGATTTGTGGTTGGTGGATTTGCCGCCGAGGCATATGTTCGAAAGTTTTTTACTGGACCAAAACCCTTTACTGGTGGAAAGAATGACAGAATTTCAAGAACTGGCGGCGCGCAGTGAAGAGAGCGCCTTGAGATTTCCGAAGTATTTAGGGTGGATACCAAACAAACTTTCACTGTATCGATACCACTACAAAGACATAACGCAATTGTCCCTGTCACTGGAACAATAAAATTGCAAGGAGTGCTCACTCAACCATATCAATTTTCCATCCGAAGACATGCTAAATCAAGCATCCTCTTAGACTATTATGATAAGATCGACTAGCGCAGAGAAGCACAAAAATTTCACTGTATCATACCATTACAAAAGCATCACCACAGTGTCTGTTTAATAACTGGAGCCAGAAATTGCAAGGAATGTCGACGCAAACATATCAATGTTCCATCCACAAAAATGCTAAATCAACTTCTGTTTCACATGACTATCAAACCTGTTCCTCTAAAATATACAATGTTACTTCCAAGCACATACTGCATCAACGGCTACTTCACAGAAATGGCAGAATCCTTCTTGCCAAAACATATTTTTTAAAAAAAACATGTGCCTTTTGTCCGTTCAAGTTTCAAGCAACGTTGCTCAGCGTACGAATCATTCACAAAACGCAAAACAAACATTCCAGAACGCACGTTTCGTACGAGACATTCGCAAAACGCAGAAGCAAACCGCCCAAAACGAGCGTTTCATGCGAGACATTCGCAAAAACGCAGAAGCAAACCTCCCAAAACGAGCGTTTCGTACGAGACATTGGCAAAAAACAAAAGCAAACCTCCCAAAACGAGCGTTTCGTACGAGACATTCGCAAAAACGCAGAAGCAAACCGCCCAAAACGAGCGTTTCGTACGAGACATTCGCAAAAGCGCAGAAGCAAACCTTTGAAAACGAGCGTTTCGTACGAGACATTCGCAAAAATGCAAAAGCAAACCTCCCAAAACTAACGTTTCCTTCGAGACATTCGCAAAAACGCAGAAACAAACCGCCCGAAACGAGCGTTTCGTACGAGACATTCGCAAAAAAGCAGAAGCAAACCGCCCAAAACGAGCGTTTCGTACGAGACATTCCAAAAACGCAGAAGCAAACCGCCCAAAACGGGCGTTTCGTACAAACCTCCCAAAACGAACGTTTCGTACCAGACATTCGCAAAAACGCAGAAACAAACCTCCCAAAACAAACGTTTCGTACGAGACACTCGCAAAAACGCAGAAGCAAACCGCCCAAAACGAGCGTCTCGTACGAGACATTCGCAAAAGAGGACGAAACCTTCCAAAATGATCGGGTTATACGAGACATTCGCAAAAACGGAGAGGGAAACCTTCCAAAACGAGCGTTTCGTATGAGACATTCGCAAAAGCAACAAAGGAAAACTTCCAAAACGAGCGTTTCCTACGAGACATGCGCAAAAACGGAAATCTGTGATTACAACGCCCCAATGTCACAGCGCACATTTCAAACATGAGGGTTGCCCAAGCACACTGGGTAACGCAGTTTCGCCTATGTTTCGCGCATCCGGCACGCACGATCTCCGCAGAGGGTTGCACACGCCCCGGCACAAACGCAGTTTCGCCGAGGTTTCGCGCATCCGACACGCAAGATCTCCGCAGAGGGTTGACGTTCGTGATGGTCCGCCGGGCATCCCCCCGCCTTAAGAGAGAAAGAATAAAGAAGAGAGATGTGAAGATGTGAGTGAACATGTGAGAAGATGTGAGATATGAGAAGATGTGAGATATGAGAAGATATGAGAAGATGTGAGATATGAGAAGATGTGAGAAGATGTGAGATGTGAGAAGATGTGAGAGAAGATGTGAGTATGAGAAGATGTGCGAAGATGTGAGATGTGAGAAGAAGATGTGAGAGA